AAGCCTGCACATGTACTGTGGCCTCTGACTTGCCAGCAGAATCTCACTTGCATGACTAACGAAAGCTACAGTCTAGATTCCCAGAAATATCAGCAGCTTTCACTTAAATGAGCTTTCTCTAGAGAACTTTAGTAGGTGACATTAATAAACTCCTCAAAAATCCCATTAGCACATGTTTTAACTATCATTTTTGTTCTGGTATGAATAATAGCAATCATAGAGATAGAATTAAAATTTTTAAAGAAAGAAAAGCATTATTCACTGTGTTTAACTTCAAGATAGGAAAAAGGGGAATCACTCCTGCTAACTTGCAGTGTATCAAAGGTAAAAGTGAAATATCTTAACCCTGGAATCCAAAGAATAAATATGAACATTAAAATAACACTGGCATAAGGGTCTGAAGGGAAACAGGTAGGCACAGTTCGTCTGCACGAGGGCCCACAGCCAAAGGTGGCTTTCTAGTCCTACTGACCATCTCTAAAGGCTTCAGCTGTGAGCCTGATAGAAAACTACATTACAAGTTGCAATTATTTCATTTTCTGCATCTCAGGGTATTAAGAAAGGCCCAAATTATAGTCTGAGTGCTGGATTAAATGTAAAAAAAAAAAAAAGTACAAGGGCTGGCTGAGTGGCTCAAGTGGTAGAACACTGACTAGCAAGTGGGAGGCCCTAAATTCAAATCCTAGTACTGCCAAAATTTTTTTAAAAATTTAAAAAGTATAAACTTAGTTGTGATATCACTGAACAGTAGATAAATTTAATAGACTAAGTAGAATTGCATCAAAATAAGTAAACCCTCAAAGAGACTACCACTCATCACATAATGCTCAATCCTATTTAATCAACTGAATTATATGAGTCTGATTTCCTTTACTATTTATTCCTTTAACCCATTATTACTGAAATTAGATTACCTAAAACCAGGCTCCCAATGTGGAAAATCTGACTTTTCAAAAACAACCATTGATTCCTTACTATTCTAGTTATATCACACAAAAGAAGAAAGTATATGTCAGTATGTTTACTTAGTACAGCATAGTTTATCATTCAAACCAGGACACTACTAAAAGTGAAACAGGGCACTATTAAGAAGTATATCAGGGGAGGATGCAGAGCAACAGGAACTCATTCATTGCTGACGGAAATTGGAAGACAGTTTGGGGGTTTCTTACAAAGTTAGAGACAGATTTACTACATAACCTATTAACCATGTATCTAAGTATTTACTCAAAAGAAATAACTTACATTCATGTAAAATCCTGTATGGGACTTTTCATTGCAGCTTTATTTTAAATCACCAACAGGCAGAAGCAACCAAGATATCTTTCAACAGGGGAGTGGGAAAACAAACTGGTGTATATGTACAATGTAATACCATTCAGCAACAACAGGAACAATGTACTGTTTCACACCAGATGGATGAATCTTAAATGCATTTCGCTAAGTGAAAAACGTCATATATGAAAGGTTACATATTGCATGATTTTATTCATGAAATTATTTGAAGGACAGAAAAGGAATGGGCAGAGTGATAAAGGACTTCCTAGCCCTGGGTTTGATCCCCAACACAGGGAAAAACAAAACAGATTAGAGGTTGCAAGGGCTGGGGGAATGGAGCATGGTCCACTATAAAAGAGACATATTGGGGAATTTTTAGAATAATGGAACTATTCTGTATGGTACTGGAATAACAGATACATGATACTATATATTGGATAAAAACCCAAAGAATTCTACATCACAAAAAGTGGACTTTAAGCAAAATTTTAAAAATCAGCTAGGAGGCTAGGGATTCCAAGATGAAATACAGACTGTGACAAAAGAACCTAATGGTATTACAAATGTATGACACAATCACACTGAGGGATGCAAGGGAATAAAAGGATGGAAACAGTAGGCTAGAGGCAAAAGGACTTGTATATAACACTGTTTCATAGTTTGTAAAGTTGTTTCCCTTAGGGGTATGATTTAAGGTCCCTGAAACTGCTTTTCATGTATGTAAGAGTAGAACAAGTAAGTAAATAGATGGACCATAAGAGTTGATCTGAGCCCAATGCAGTGGCCTGTACCTGTCTCATTCCAGCTATGCTAGGAGGCACAAATAGGAGGGTCACCATTCAGGCAGGCTATGGCATAAAGTGAGACCCTATCTCAAAAATAACCAACAAAAAAAGTACTGGGAGAGGGCTGGAGGCATGGCTCAAGCAGTAGAACTCCTGCCTAACAAGCATGAAGCCCTGAGCTCAAATCCTAGTTCTGAGGGAACAGGAAAAAAAGAGCCAATCTGAGTTTCCAACGGCCCTAGATGGAAACATTTGAGCAACAAAATAACATAGCTATAGAGTGTAACTCAAAGAATAAGTAACCAAGAGTCTATACTGATGGAAATATTAACTGAAGAAATAAATGGAAGAGAAAAAATAAGATCTTCCTTACAGAAAAATTTTAATAATTTATGTATAAACTTATTATATATAATATATATTACTTACTAAGCTTCCTTAATCTAACCTCTCACCTTGAGTGTAGGTTCAATTTAGTGACGTTCCAAAGAACAAGGTATGAGGTGTGGAGGTAACTTTACAGTGCAGAAACCTACCAAATACTACTTTACGCAGATGATCAAGATTAACATTAAGTGACAAATCATAATGATAGAATGTACCTCCTTATATTATGAGAAAGGTAATTATTCTCTATAGTATGTTCCCCCAAAAGCCATAACTGTAGCCTATTTGAGAAAAACATCTGGTAATCCCAAACTAAGGGACAATTCACAAAATAGGTGACAGATACTCTTCAAAGTACTTCTCAAAACTGTTATGAAAAACAAAGAAGGACTGATAAACTACTCCAAACAGAGGGAAAAAAGGAGACAAGACATCTCAATGCAATGTAGTATTTTGGGTTGATCCTACAGCAGAAAAAAAAGACATCAGTGAAAAAACTAGAACACTCTGAATGAAGTCAGGAGTTTAGTTAATTGTAACGAACCACTGTTGATTTCTTAGCTTTAACAAATGTAACATGGTTATGTCAGTTGCTAACAATAGGGGAAACTGGGTGAGGGTATATAGGAATCTCTGCTAAGATACTTTTCTTTAAACCTAAAATTATTCCAAAATCAAAAGTGCATTACCATTTGCCAAGAATTTAGATAAAAACCAAGAATACCCTGGAAAAACTAGGACATTATACTTACCTGATGTATGACAGAAGTCTACTTTCTTAATAACTTTTAAGTGTTAAAAAATCTAGAGAATAAGAGTAATTGGTAGAATGGGTGCTTAGCATGAGCAAGACCTAGGTTCAATCCCCAGACCTGCTACCCTCAAAAATTTGGAGAATTAAAAAAAAAAAATTTGGAGAATAATAACTGACTTTGTGTTATTTAGTTACCATTGGAAAATCTAATTGGTGCTCATCATTGCTAAAAAATTTTTTTAACTTTTTCTTTTGCAATTGCTAGGTGCATAAAATACAAAACAATGTTTCAAATAAGATTAATTGAACTGATAAGAGTAGAAAAATGCAGAAGAAAAGATTTGTGATTAAAAGACTTTATAATACTAAGAACTTCCTTTCTGCTCAAGTTTTATAAGCATTTTATTCTTGTGGAAGAGATAAGAACAACATGCATACCAGAGAAGAAATTCCATATTTTCATAGTATCAGTGATGAACTGAGAGACCTACAACACTGTATCTATAGCTCCTGAGAGATAAGAAAGAAAACAAAGTGAAGAGGTTTTTTTTGTTATTGTTATTGTTTTAAAGACCAATTATAGCCATAAAAAGGAGTAAAGGAAGCTACTGAACTAGACTAACCTCTTTTATCATGGCTGGTAACAAACAGAATATACTTTTAAATTAATTCTTTGTTGTGTTAAGGGCTAATAACCTTCTTAGAGAGCTCCTGCTGCCAGAAATAGTTTCTGTTCTAAGCAAAGAGAAAGCAAAATCACAAAGCAGACACAGAAGTCACTTGAATGCAAGTATTTTTCTTGATGCTTTCTCCCTTCCATAGCAGTATGAGAAGGATTGGTGTTTTAGTGTTTTCAGTATTTCTGGTATACTAGCATGGTATAAGTCCCTATTTCCCTTGGGGGGGGGTGGTGGCAATAAACTAGATTCACTCCAAATCACTTTCCAGTATGCCCAATATTATCAATGCTTATTATAACTAAACCTAATACTACCCTTGGTCCCCCTCTAAGTCCATTTTGGCCATTCATTAATTCAATAAATATTTAGTCTTATTTCTTACATATAAGCACTTTTTGGATGTTTCATAGGTTTGGGAGAAAAAACACATACTTGTTATTTTAAAAATCAAGAAATTCAAAGAAACACAAAAATTACAGGGGAAAAAAAAGTCACCCTACAACCAACTCCTAGAATCTAATATTTGATTAAAAACAAAACAAAACAAACTCAAAACACCTCAATCACCAATCTAGATATCTCTCTTTGCCAGGCATGTTAATAAACATTTCATAAAAAGCACTTTAGCCACTTTCAAAGAGGAAAAGTTTCTTAAAAAAAATAATAACCAACACTCCCCCAGAAAAAAAAGAATAACTATGAAGTCTGAATTTTTTTTGGAAAGTACTAAGGTTTGAACTCATGGCCTTGTGCTTACTAGGCAGGCATTCTACTACTTGAGCCTCGACTTCACCCTCAAGTTTGAATTTTATACCAGTACTAATCCTAGATTGTTCTCCTATTTTAAAAAAATCTAAGAATTAACTCCAACTAATTTTCTTCACTTGAAACATAAAACACTTCTCTAATCTAAAGTCTGGACCTAAGATGAAAATAAATATATCTATATACATGCGTTAATACTAGCCAAATTTATAACTATTCCTATGTAAAGAAACTAAAATCCTGAAGTAGATTTCAGTTGACTGCCTAATTCTACTTAGCACATAGGAAACAAAATGGTCAGTTACTGTCTGCAGCAATAAAAGGTAACAATAAAAAAATAGTTATACTTACTGCTAAAAATCACCTTAAAGGGAAGAGGGTAAATCACACAAGTACTTGCATATTTTTCTTGATGTTCAGGTCCATATTTATCTTAAAAATACTTGAAAGAAAATTTTCAAAATAAATTTCAGTCATGTTCTTAAAACATACAGTTTTAAACTTAAACACGACTCACTCACTCACTTGAATCTGAGATTAATAAATGACAATGTCTCAGGCTTTCCACACCTGAATTTTTTAATGCAGAAATGGAGTCAAAGATTTTTTTCTCAAGGGAAATCAAACATTACTTGCTTTTGGGCGGTAGATTACTTTCTCCCTCTTCTTTTCATTTTCAGTCCATCAATATTGACATGGGTGACATGTTGGGCCTCCTAAATTCCAGCCTGGCCTCCTGTCTCCGCTCCCACCAGTTCACCTCAGTGTCAAAAATACAGGCAGACACTAAAGTGACCCCCCTCAACAGGTACATCAGCCCTCAAGCTTGGAACTTCCCTTCTTGAAGCTAAGCCTGTTTGTCTCCTCTCCTACTGCACTATACCCAATAGTCTTCATGCCCAATGAATGTCTCTACGTATTCTTCTCAATATCCTCTCTGATATTGGAGGGTCTACTGATCTTTTTAAAAATTGGAATTTGGTTTAATTTTTTCTCTACTGTCTATCCATTCTCTATTTCACAGATTTCTGTTACTGGCCTTCCATCTACTTTAGGTCAAACCTGCTTTTCTTTTCTACTACATTTAGGTAGAAGACTAGATAAATTTCCCTCTAGCATTACTTTAGATGTATCCCACAAATTGACGCTTTTGTTATTCAAAATATTTTTTAACTCCCCATGTGATTTCTTATTTTATCCATGAGTTATTTAGGAGTCTTGTTTAATTTCTAAATATTGGAGAATTTTCAGATAGCTTTCTTGGTGAATTCTAATTTAATTCTGTTTTGAGCCAAGGCATGTATTTTGCGATTTAGAAACTTTTAAATTTATTCACTTTTTTTCAACTTCCCAGCATATGGTCAATAATTTATAATACTCACCTAGATTGAGCATATGCTAGGTGTTCTTTTTTTTAAAGCCACATCCTCAGCCATTTTTGGCTTTAGTTATTTTTCAGATAGGGTTTTGTGTTATTGCCCAGGAACTGGCCTAGGACTTCAACCCTCTTACCTCTACACACATCTGGCTTGTTTGGTGACATAAGGTCTTGTTAACTTTTGCCCTGGCTCGCCTCAAACCACAACCCTCCTGATCTCCACTTTCTGAGTAGCTGGGATTACAGAAATCCACCTTTAGATTAATATGGCCAACTTTCTGTAGTTAGTGCTTGTTTGGTATATATTTTTCTATTCTGGTTTTTAGTTAAAATAAGTTTCTTATAAATAACAAGAGTTTTTATGGTTTAAAAAAAGCTTGAAAAGCTTTGCCTTTTAACTGGAGGACTACACTCAGAGTAAGGTAATTATTGATAAGACTGGGTTTATATTTACCATTTTGCTATTTATTTCCTATTTGTTCTTTGGGTTTTTTTTCTTCCTCATTTCCTTCTTTCTTTTGGATTCAGTATTTCTTAGTAGTCTATTTTATTTCCACTATTTGGCTTATTTTTCAAGTGGTGATTCTGGGATTTGCAGTGAACACCTTTTACTTTATCATGATCTACCTTCAAAAAATATTGTGCTCTTTTATGTACAATGTATTAATCTCTCAACAGTATAGTAATCCCACTTTCTCCATGGGGGAAACATTCCAAGACCCCCATGGATACAAGAAATTGTAGACAACACCAAATCCTATATATATGCAATGCAATGCTGCAATAGTCAGTCCGACAACCAAGACAGATAGAAGCCTATACAGTACGCATACAGGTAGCATATACAGCAGGATATACAGACAAAGGGATGAGTTTAGACCGCAGTTGACCATGTGTAACTAAAACTGCAGATATCAAAATGTGGATAAAGAAGGACTATTGCATATTTCCACAATCCCCTTTTATCTTTTGTTCGCATTTTCATACATTTTACTTCTTCAAATGTTAAACCCCTACAATATACTCCTATTATTTTTGTTTTAAATAGTTATCTATCTATATATATGTATATATAGATACCTGTGTCTACTAGGCAGGTATTCTACCACATGAGTCAGACCTCCAACCATTTTTGCTTTAGTTATTTTTGGAATAGGGTCTCGATTTTTTGCCCTAACTAGTTTGGACTATGATCCTATTGAAGCCTCCTGCAAAGCTGGGTGACAGGCACATACTACCACACCCAACTTTATTAGTTGAGACAGGGTCCCTCTAATGATTTATCCCAGCTGGCCTTGAACTGGCAATCCTCCCAAGTCTCCACCTCCTGAGTAGCTGGGATTACAGTTGTAAGCTACTGTGCCCAGCCTATCTTTAATTTTTTAATGAGAAAAAACAACCCACATGTTTAGTATTTTCAGAGCTTGATGGGAACTCAAATGATTTCTGTTTCTGTATGTGCTCTGGGAATTATTTGATAAGTTTTCCCTAGAAGTTGTTCCTTGCTCGGCCTCATGGAATTTCACCCTACCCATGTGCAGGACTCAGTGACTGTTACATAGATATCTAAAGATCTTTATCTGTATAGCTTCCTCATGTTTGGCACACTGCCCTGTATGTCCCAGCCACCAGGACCTCCCTGAATTTTCATGTATGTCTCATACCACAGAGTGCTCTTTAGGTCTCTCTTCCCTGCACCAAGATCTAGAAATTAACTTTCAGCACAAAGCCAAGACAATCGTAAAGCTATCTCTTTTGTTTCCCTTCTTTCTGGAAACACAGTGCTGTGTCGCCTGTTTTCCAATATATGAAGACAGTTGTTCCATGCTTACTGTCCAGTTTCCTAGTTGTTTAACTGAGAAAAAGCAATTCCAGAACCTGCTTTTCCCTTGTGGCTAGAAGCAAAGTCCTTTTTCATAATATTTGATTGTATGTCAAGCACTACATATAAACTAATGGTAGAGGCCGTGGTTGGCATTTCCCACAGAAGATTTGCTCTTTCCTCTGTTATGCAGAAAAGAACTGGGGCTGCTCACCTCTATTTTCAAACACCCCAAGGGTGAGGCCATCAGTTTCTGCAGCCCCCTTCCTCTAGATTAATAGTTCCCAAAATATCATCTGTGGATCCCCAGGGGTTCCTACTTTTTTTTCAGGAGATCTATGAAATAAAAACTGTAATAGATATCATTTACCCTTCTGTGTTGACAGTAGCAGTGATGGTACAAAAGCAATGCTGTGTAAAACTGCTGGAAGCTTAGCATCAATCAAGGCAGTGGCACCACTGTATAACTATATTCTTCAGTGCTGTGCACTCACAGTTCAAAAAAACACCAGTTTTACTTAATGACTCTGATGAAATAGTAAAAATGGGTAATTTTATTAGCCCTTGACCCTAAGTATGTGTCTTTTTCATAATCCAAGTTATAAAATGAGTAGTTATGTGTAAAACTTTTCTGCTGCATACCATAACATGGCTGTTGTCTCAAGGAGAGGCACTTGTATGATTCTTTAAGTTGCAAGCTGAATTAGCTGGGTTTGGTTTTTTTCCCCATAAAAAACCAGCTTTATCCAAAAGAACCACCAATAGACAAACTGTGATCTTTCAAGTTGGATAGCTCACAGGCTTTTTTCAAAAATGAATGTAGTAAGCCTGTCACTAATAGGAGAAAAATAACAATATTTGGACCAATGGTAAGTCTGCTTGTAAATTTCTGGTATAGTAAGTAGCAACAGATATAAGCCACATAAGCAAAATCTCCTTAGAATCTCAATAATTTGTAGGATTGGAATGGGGTTCTGCAATCAAGAAGTTTTATAATCCCAGCTACTCCGTAGGTGGACATTTGGAGGAACATTGTTCAAGAACAGCTTGGGCAAAAAAGTCAGCAAGACCTCACTCAACAAATAAGTTGGGCATGGTGGCACACACCTGTCAATCTCAGCTATGTGAGAGGCATAAATGGAATTGCAGTCCAGACTGGCCTAGGTGAAAATGCAAGAGATTATTCAAAAATTAAAGTGAAAAGGGCAAGGGGCATTGCTCAAGTGGTAGAACATATATTTACCAAGCATTAGGCCCTGAGTTCAAACCCCAGTACTGAAAAAAAAAAGGTTGAGCACCTAGCAAATCTCCTAAACACCATGAGACTGCAAGAGATTGTACCTGATTTTTTTTTTTTCCAACCTAGCCCCTGTCCATATTCCATACAGGAACCATAGTCTGCTACCACCTCCGACATACAACTCGGAGGCAGAAGTCTTTCAACCCACTACCAAATAACAACAGCTAACGCTATGTGCCAAGCATTTCATGTAATATTAACTCAATGAATTCTCAGGGCAAAATAATTAGGTAAATAACAACACTGCCCTCAATAAACCACACAATAAGAAGTAGCAAAGCCAGGATCCAACCCCAGGCAGTTTCTTTCACAGTCATGCCCTTAACATAATAAGTACCATTCACTTTATCTTCCAAACATTTCCCTCAGGAAACAGCCCATTTTCATGACTGACACTATCACCTCAAAGCTGAAGATATCTGGATTTCCCATCTACCTCTCTCTTCCCAGTGCTGGGGACTGAACCCAGGGTTTTTGGTTTTCTTTTTATGAAACCGTTTTCTTTTTATGAAATATTACAGATAATATTTTGTTTCATAATTTCATCAACAAAATGTGTTATATCCATAGAACAGAATATTATTCAGTCATAAAAATGGAAAATCTGGTATATTCAGCAACACGAACCTTGAAAACATTATGCTAAGTGAAGTAAGTCATAAATAAAAGAACAAACATGATTCCACTTATGAGGTAACTAGAATAGGCAAATTCAGAGAAAAAAGATAGAATAGAGTTTACTAGGACCAGACAGGGGAGGAAATGAGTTATTATTTAATAGTTACAGGGACTTTCTGTTTTGGATGACAAAAAAGATACTGGATACTAATAGTGGTGGTGGTTGCTAAATGTACGTTATACCAGTGAACTATACACATTAGCATGGTTAAAAAGTGAATTTTTTTAATTACAGTTTTGGAGGGTGAGGAACTTGTTTTCTACACC